GTAGAATCATCCCTCTTTCCCTTCATCCATCTCTCTTTCCCTCGTACGCAAATTTCTTCCAATTTTTACGAGTTTGTTAAAAAGAGAAGCCTAATTTCTCAAGAAGAATATTTGAATTGAAGATGCAACGGCTAATGTCTTCGAAATTAAGTCCAAACTCCTATTTCTTAGCTTGATGACTTAATTTAGAGGCATGATCTAAGTTACTTGTTTGATTACACCTAATTTAGTGCTTGATCCACAAAGATCAACGCTCAAACTATGTAATATATGTTGTTTTGTGAACTTGAACCACTTAAGTTATATGAATCTTGATAACATTAGGTAGGAAACACTCATGAGATAGGACTTTTTGAGGGTTTGGCCATTTGAAACCCCTAAAAAAGGGTATCAGGTCATGCCGATAAATCATGTGTCAGGACACCCGGTACATACCAGACCCACGTCAATTTGGCCAGGGATCGTCATGGGTCTGCTATGCAAAATGTCAAACCATGGTCCATTTATCTTGTCTTTACTTAATATCTAGTCACTGTAACTGCCATGGTCAAAGTTGAAATTTAATGGAAGTGGCAAATCGGCACCTGAAGTCTGTGTTCATGGTTGAGATTCTTAAACTTTTTGTGCAAACGTGGAAAATTTAGCTTTTTGGTTCCTCACCATTTGATCCGATGGAAGATTGTTCATAGTTTAGCTTGACTTTTTCTTCCTTTGTTTATATGACAGACAAAATCTGTACTTGCATTGGCAGCAAAGATCAAGCGCATCATTCTACTTTCAGGGACACCTTCTTTGTCAAGGTTATATTTCAACAGAAATTGAATCCCTTGTTAGTGCAACCTATAATTCATGATTGCTTTTTTGATTGCATATATTTAAACTTAGTAATCTATAATCCTCCAACACCATGGGACAAAATCACATACTTCATTGAAATTGAATTATATTTTACAAGTAAGCTTTGGTCATAGTAGTGGCTATTTGACCATGAGCGTTGATAAAAAATGGGAGTCGAAGAAAATTTATGAGGAATAACATCATTAAAAGTCAACGCAGAAGATTGGCCAATATGATTTCATATGGCACATTGCTTCCTAAGTTGAGTGCACTACTGTAATAGCGAGGCTAAAAGTGATCTTGATATGGTACAGAATCTGTTTGAGACTTGATTTAGCAATTATTCCACATAAGAGAAAGATATCATCTGCAAGATCGAGGTATGTGAAGATGCAGCTGAGGCATCTCATTCGAAATATATTTAACCCTCCATGATCAATTATGTTGGTGAGGACATACATAAGTAAGGTTGCTAGGTGGGATGGGGATCTCCTTGCCTAGGACCTTTCCTTTGATCAAATAAGTTACATGGTTAATACTTGAGAAGCACTCATAAGATTTAGGATGTAACCTGAGAGAGTTATTTCCTGTCAAAGGCCCTGAATATGAAGATGTCGAGGATAAAGGTTTATTTGATTTCATTGAGAGCATTCGTGAAGTCAAGCTAAGCATAAGACTTCTTATGTTTAGTTTCTTACAACAGTACATGAGCGCCTGAGAACTCATGAGGCAAGGCAGAAAAATCTTAAGAAGGTGGACTGGCACTCCAATATGAGCAAGAAGGCTCAAGGTAAGCCAGTTAGCTGACACTTAAGCCAGAATCTAGCAATTAACAATAATAAATTTGTAAGTCTGAGGTCTTGTAGGCTACCTCAAGCATGTGAGTGAATTTTAGTAGTATTTGAATGTTTTAATGTCTGTGGATCATATAGGAACACCGTTAACTTGAAAATACTGAATCTGTAATGTTTCTATACTTTTGGAAGAACAGAATGGCAAGCTATTAAAGGTTGGTCTTTTTTCTTAATTTTTGAAATCCATCTTTCTGGTACGTGGTTACTCGAGATGCTTGAAACAATTGCAAATGTTTAAATTTGATAAGTGTGTATGGTAGCTCCTAAAAAAATTATAAGTTTATATGCATGGTTCCACTAGACTCATTGGATGGACATCGGAGTGTTGTATTCCATTCTTCTTGATTTCTTTTAGGATTAAGTGCTAGTGATAGCCACAAAAACGTGATTTGTAATCTCATTTCGTGACAGTTAAAGCTAATCTCTTCTGTGTCTACTCAAGACCTGGTAATAAACAATCTTTGCTTTGAAGCAAATTGACAATCATGAGCAGTATTCCAAACATTTCCTTGCTTGTGGTTGTCTGGGTTTAAAATCTTTAAGATCAAAATGAAGGATGAGACAGGATCATGATCTTACAAAACTTTGAGACATGCAGCAAGTGCATTCTATTCTAAGCATTGCCGTATGATGATTGTCACACTTAGCTTATTCCAATCAGCATAGACAGTGGCCTTATCCATTTCCTATATTCGCTACATTTGTTGCTAATTTTATTGCTTTTGCTTGGTATCGATTTTTTTCTTGTTCTATCTTTTATCGAGTTTCTAGTTTCTTACTTGTGGTTTTTGCTAGGTGATCATAGGCCCTATGACATTTACCATCAGATCAATATGTTATGGTGCGTTTATCTTTGATAGTGATTTTATCTATTTTTGAATTTGAGTTGTACAAGATAATATGAGCTTCCTGGAGTTTTCATCCTCATAATATATTCTTTGCAATCCATTTCTCAATATTGGACTTCAGGCCTGGGTTGCTTGGAAAGGATAAGTATGAATTTGCAAAGAGTTATTGCTCAGTCAAACTTGTTCAGCGCTCTCATGGGGTTGTTTTTAAGGTACCTGGCATTTATTCAGTACCATTAGACTTACGTTGTTTTGGAATTCAATTTTTGTTGTTGGTGTAGATAGATTATTTTATTTCCTTTAGCACACATTTTGATAACATGCCGGTACATTATGTACTCACCAACATGGTTCACAATGGGATCTGTGTCAGCTGGCACAACTTTATGGGGTCTCAGTTCATTCTCGGACAGTACAAGAGCCTTTGCCAATATTGTGCTTACCTCTGAAAAATTCAAAACTATTATGTAGATTACATTAACGTATGCTACGATCATGTGTGATAAAACCACTTTGCCTTTTACTACACATGCACCAATCTTCAATTGGCTTGAACAAGCCAGTAAAGTGCAAAAATTTTAAAGTTTTTTTTATAATCATGACATTTGTACAAGAGTATTAGTTTAAATATTATCAAATATAACTTCTTTATATATTCTCTTTTGTGTCCTTTTGATTTCATTGTAGTTTGATTATAAGTTCTTGCATTTTTTTCTTGTTATGTCTCATCTTCTCACTTTCATGCAGGACTTTTCAAAGGGTATCAGACTGGGAGAGTTAAATATACTACTTGGGCAAACCGTGATGGTTAGTTCTTACCCAACTAACTTCTTGTAGGTGTAGTTATTTTAAAATCATCTGATCAATTTTTATCCAGATATATTACTGTGAAGAATAAAGTTTCTAGCTGGTAAGTATAGGTTAATGTGATATGTTGATTAGAAGGTAGCTGTGAATAAGATGATGAAAAGCAAATATGTTCTCTTGCTACACTTTATTCTAGATGTTGTGCAATCTCCAAAAATGTGATCTATTTTTAAGCTTAACTTGTTAGATGCTCGAACATGCCAAGCCACTTAGTTATTTTTGTCTGTAGTTTACTGTACTATTGATTGCAAAACAGATGGCATTGTGCTTGGTTGTGGTGCATTGCCTTCATTTTTCTCATAAAGGCGCTCAAAGTTTAGCTTTTAACCAGTAAACTGGGCTAATACATTTAAGCATCTTCTTGGACCTTTTAAACAAAGAAAGACTTCCCATTTTGTTTTGCATTTGTGAGAATGAAGAAATAGTCTGACTGGTCAGTTGTGTGGGCTTAGTGGAAAACAGGATTACAGAAAGACTTGAAAGAATAGATTAAGTCTTCACAGGAGTTGAATTTTAATGGGAGAAAAAAACATAAAAAATATAAATACTAGTATAATGCATTTGATTATTAAACAAAATATAAAACATATGAGCATGGCAGAATTGTTATGGATGAATGTTGTAATACACAATATAAAACACAATATAATCGAACTTTACAAGTGTTGTAATGCACATTGTTCAACAAACCAAGGCAGATAAGTATGCATGAGCAGACCAACAGTGATTTAAAAAACATTAGGCGCCAAAAGGCACTAAGATCCCAAAACGCCTGAAGCGCTAGGTGCTCGCCTAGGCGGTCGCTTGAGCGAAGCGAGGTGTTCTAAAATATTAAAATATTAAAATATATAATATAATTATTTAAATAAAAATATGATATTAAATTAAAAATATACTATTAATAGTATATTACTTAAGTTAGAGGGGGAGAAAAAATATTCTCTGAAATATTAAAATATAAAAATATATTATATAATTAAAAATATAATTATTTAAATAAAATATGATATTAATTTTAAAATGTACTGTTAATAGTATATTACTTAAAGTTAGAGGGTGGAGAAAAAAATGTTAACAGTAACAGAGGGAGATAGTAGCAGTGGCAGAGGATTAGTTTAAGATAGTTACAGCAGTGCTGCAAATGATAGTAGCGGCAGCGAGGAAAGCTACGGACAGTAGCAGCGACAGTGGCGAAAGCTGCAGACAACAACAACGACAATGGTGGAAGCTGCAGACAGTAGCGACGAAAGCTACGGACAATAGCAGTGGCAACGACAGAAGTTCTAGAGGGCATCCGTAAGTGGCGGAGGAACCTACCGTCCTTTCCCTCAATAGTGGAAGGAAGCGACAATAGAAGGAAGCTACGGGGGTCGTAAAACTCATCCGTCGACAATAGAGGAAGGCATTGTATGCTACGTCTACGGCGGAGGAAGTGGCAAAAAGCATCAATGACGGAGGCAGAAGCAGAACTGGGGTTCCTCGGGGTCGTGCGAGCGTGAAGCATGGCTTTTGAGGTAAGAAACTATGAACCGAACCAAACTTAAACATGTTCGGTTCGCTTAATTGAACTGGGCGCTTGCTTGAAGTGCGCAGCGCCTGGGTTTGGGCGAGCGCCCAGGCGACACCTCCGCCTGGTCCACACATGAGGCGCTCGGGCCTCGCCTCACCTCGCCCGAGGGCTTAGGCGAGCGCCTGAGCGCCTATTTAAATCACTGTAGACCGATATGCACCACTTGGCGAATACTTGTTTGCTCGTGGATTGGGACATGGACCACCCTTTTTCAGGCAATCTAGTCTGATTTTGGGGTTTGTTTTCTTTTTTCTGATTTTTGGTTGTTGACCCATCAATTTAGGGTATATGAGCAGACCCAGGCAATCTGGTCTCAGAAAGCCACATGGTCACATTGTAGGCTTGCTGACTTGCGGCTAAGCACTGCCCACCTCCCCCTGCAGCTACACCTCTTGGTATGTCTCTTCTTTTTAGGGAAAGAAATGATGTATCTAACATTATATCTTGCTTGAGATTTGTAAGGATTAGAAACAAAGTCTTAGCACAAACATTAAAAGAAAACAAACATGGACTTTGTGCAGCATGTAGTTCACTTCAAAGTGTTTCCATTTGTAGCATGTATCTAGTGAGTTGGTTTCTCAAAGTATTTTCAAACATGGCAACCGATTTTCTACTTTTAATGTTAAAGATGTTGGTGGACTTACTGTGGAGAACTTTTTAAAACTTGATGTTCATTGTTGATTCTGTTTTAGGTTATATTACTGAGCATGTTCCATATATTGGGACCAATATTAGGTCACCACGAAGATGGTGATGGGTCATATTAGATAGACATGATCAGTTAGCTCAAACTGTTGGATGAGATTTCAGTCCGGAAAAAAAAATTGAGAATAGAGAGAAAATAAAGACAAATTGAGAACTAACAAATTTAGCCGGTGCCATAAATCTCTTTGGTAGCCAACAAAAACTTTAATGAAAATATAATTGTTCAAATACTCTATTGAATAACTTCAAGTTGATCAAACCTAGTTAAAATATAGCTGATTTGAAGTTTGATGATTGATGGCAGAATAAGTAAGTTTATGTTAAATTATGATTGTACAAACCTGAATCAGCATTCGATTAATTGTATACACGGTTTATAATTAGATTGGATCTATTGGATTACTTGCAAGTCCCAAACTTGATCAAAATGTGGATTCTTGTTGGATCAAAGTAAAATTACATGAAATGTGTGAAAATCAAGTATGTTTTTGCTCAGTTTCTGTTGAATAGATTTGGGTTTTGGACTACTGATTGTAACTTCTCTTGAACTATGTGATTAAATTGAACCGAAATGATTTGTGTATTTTACCAGATTGAATTAGATTGGCTGGTATCCATCTAGATAGGTTGGTATGAGTTGATCTCAGGTTGGATCTGGTGATCCATCTGGTCTTTTATTGTGAATTGACTATGGCTTATTAATTAAGCTTTTCTGTGTGAAGCTCAAATTGAGTTTTCTAGGTTAGGGATTGGCTGTAAAATCTGGTTGCACAGATTGAGTTTTCTAGGATAGGGATTGGCTCTAAATTCTGGTTAGCATACTCCAGAATGATTAATGATAATGTGCTTTAATAGAGTCCTGCAGATTATCTGTAACCAAATTTATGATCTAATTAAGATATAACCTGACAACTCTTTCTGTTCATGTTATAGGTAAGGCGTTTGAAGGAACATGTATTAACACAACTACCACCCAAGCGTCGCCAAATTGTATGGGTGGTGCTGAAGGCAGCTGATATTCTTCTAGCAACATCATCATGTTCTACAAGTGGCACAATGGTCATGGATGGAGAATCCAGAAAGGAATCTTTTGTAGATTGTTTTTCTGACCAAGATAAATGTGATGGAGATCAGAAACTGGAGAAATATGATGCCTGTCCAGGTGAAATTTTTCTTGAGTACATAGATTTCTTTGTTTTTGTTTCCTATCTGCTGTTTTGCATGCATCTGTCTGCATGAAGCACCAGCTAGCTTGTTGCTTGAGTTTTTTTTATTTCACTTAGTAGCAGTCATCATGTATGCGAAATTTATTATCCATGTGATCGTTGTTGGTTCAGATGTTACGTTACTATTGATGACTCTAATTAGCCATTAGTATGCTTCTGTTTTGTTGATTTCAAGTGATCATAACTATTCTTTAGTTTCACTGAGTTGGTGACATGTTGATGTGTTTCAGTTATTTCATTTCTCTGTCTTTTTTCAGGCACTGAGTGCAGAAAATCTCAAAAGCATCTTTCCCATCAAGAAATTGGCATCGCAAAATTATCTGGATTTCGTGAGTGGTTCTCCAATCATTTCATATTTAGAGAATCAGAGGATGTAGATAGTGTAGAGATGGGACTTTGTTCTCAGAAAACAATAATATTTGCTCATCATTTAAAGGTTCTAGATGGAATACAGGTGAGACATGTACTTTTTAGCATTTATTATTATTGATATTGTTCTATATGAAAAAAATGAATATTTGAAGAAATTATTAATAACTATGAAGAACAGACACAGACACAGCATACGGAAATATGGATACACTGGCATTGCAGGCAATTGATAGATGTGTTTTTTTTGTATAGTATTGTAATTTTTTCTGATAAATATCACAGAGATCATAATATGTGAGAATTTATAAGAAACGGAACAACCATTCTTGTAGATACTTCAAGGAACTTTCTGGCATGTGTCAAATTGTATTCTGTCAATTTCATGTCCAACACTTATCCAGTATGGTTACAACAATATTTGAAGTATCAATATTTGATTGGCTATTTGAAGTATCAATATTTCATTGGTGATAATTTACTAAGAAAAAAATTAACGTGAGCGGTGTTTGGTTCATAAAAATCACTGTCTTCTTTACTTAGAAGTTAAGTGAATCCTGGGCTCGGTACTGGTACGGTACGGTGTACCGAGCACTGTAGCAGTACAATGCAGTGCTACAGTGCACTGTGCTGCTACAGTGAGGACTTGTACCGGGCGGTCCGCGTACTGCTGGCCTGTCAGACCGGTACATACCGCCCGTACCAGGCGGTACAATTCGGTATTGCAGACACTGAGTGAATCTCCGTCGCAGTGTGCTTGTACTCAAATGTATTCTTTTGTTTGTGCGTGTGTGTGTGTGTCATATGATATATGCTTTTCAGTGCTTGTCTTAGTTTCTGAACATAGTCACTGAAAGTGATTTTTCTTTAAAAAAATCATTTTGAAATAGACAATCTACAACCTTATGATTTTTCTCCTTTATGAGTAAAATGGCTAGGGTTCATATTGTGAAAAAAGACAACAGAACTTTTGATTTTTTTATTCATTTTGAAGAGGCATGGAGTATGCCACTAAAGACTGCATAAATAAGACACTCATCCTTGTATTGTTGTTAATTGTTATT